GGTAACCATAGCCTTCCCCTGAGATTGATACATATATAATTAATTAAGTAACCCAGCAAGTTCTCCTGGAAAGGGGAGAAAAGAAGGTACAACAGCCTTGCCTTTGCAGTCCTGGCTCCCACCCCATGCCGCCCCCGGGTGGGTGGTGCCAGATAGGGGAGGCCCTGGGCCACAGGGAATTGACCAGAGGCCTGTTCATTATATGTCTGCCCCTGGGTTCCACCCCGTGGGGCAAGGCTGATGTATTTCATAGTATGTATCAAAAAAGCCAATTGGACTTATTTGGCATATATATATGTTGCACTCCACAGCCACACACATTGAAATGATTTTTCTAAAAATTAGAAGTAAGTTACTGGCGCAGATCACTTGCCGGTTCTGCAGTGCAACGTAGTGTTCTTTTACCACCATTTGAGAATGGCGGCAGATACTGTCTACTTATTTTCATCATTAACACATAGGGTATAATTTATAATCTTTTAGAAAAATGAATAAATCATGGGTCAAATGTGTAGGGGCGTTCACTATGATGATGAAGTAGACAGTAATCAGGACTTAGAGAATTAGGCTACAGTCATGAAAGTTGCACACTGGAAAAGAGAATTATATTAGGAGAGAATTAGTAGAATAGCTCTGCTTCTTCATCATGAAATCCTGATTTTGTGTTGACCTCTGTATTCAATAACCCTAAACAGCTCATTTATTATCTAATGTTTACATACACTCTTTTTTAAAAAAATGCTAAACATATTAGAGGATGTTGGCATATCAAAGATGCAGAAAAAGTAGAAGGAATTTAGAAAGATGAGAATTAGGTGTTAATGGATCCTAATGTAAATAAAAGGAGTTGAGGAAGATCCACACATCTGATCTTTGCAGATAATGTGGTTCCTCTCCGTGTTCAGTGTTAATAGTGATGACAGGAATATACGATCTCATTCAGATATAAAAGAAGTGCCCCCAGTCCCTTCTTGGAAGCCTAAAGTGCTTGTTTGCATGCTCAGTCGCCAGCGGTGTCTGACTCTTTGCAATCCCATGGACTGCAGCCCACCAGGCTCCTCTGTCCATGGGGATTCTCCAGGCAAGAATACTGGAGTGGGTTGTGTTTTCCAGGGGATCTTCCTGACCCAGGGTTTGAACCTAAGTCTCCTGCACTGCTGGCGTAATATCAAATAATTTGTTGTACAAACCAGAATATTCTTAAGAATGAAAGTGAATGCTATTGATAACTGTGCTGGGACAGCTGGTGTCAGTCAGAAAGAACTACCTGTAAGGAAGTTAGTTAAAAGACTATACTAGGACCCTCTAATTCACCGAACGTAACTTGGGCTTTTCCACGAGCATGAACTCGTCAAGAATGGAAGAGGGAAGGGTCTGTGTAATACCAGTACAGCAGCTCATTGACTTTATCTGGTTTGTTATTGATTAAACCAAAATTCTCTATGTGTGTAACTTGTCCTCAGAGCAGAGTTTGAACTGCCCTTTAAGTCAGAGTTGTAAAACCTTGAGTGTGCTTTTACAAGTTAGAAATGGTGACTTTGCAAGGCATAGTTTACTTTGAAGGTAAAAGAGCGATGATAGTGAAGGGAAAGCGCCATATATGGCATTGTTATAACAGCTGATGAGATTCGGAAAACGGGGAATGTGAGAAAGCTTTCTGCTGGTGGTGGGGAGGAAATGGAGGCCCTTCTGGGAAGTAACTCAGAAATCTGTCAATAATTGCTCTGATTACAGGAGTTCAGATTTGAAAATGTTTGCAAAATTGCATTTCCATGCAGCTTCTCCTTAATAACAGTTTTGAATTGATGTTTATGTGTGATATGATGGTAAAGAACCTGCCTACAATGCAGGAAACCTGGGTTTGAACTCTGGGTTGGGAAGATCTCCAGAAGAATGGCATGGCAACCCACTCCAGTATTCTTGCCTGGAGAATGCCTTTGAACAGAGGAGCCTGGAGGGCTACAGTCCTCCAAGAATCAGACACAACTGAGTGACTAACACACTTGTGTGATGTATATTGTTGGTGGTTCTCAGCTTGGATCTGTATTATTTCCTCACGATTTAGTGCATTTTTGTTAGAAGGGCTGTGGAAGTGATGTCATGGTCTTCTCTGTGCGTTTTACTAGGAGGCACACCTTGTGGGTATGTCTGTCCCATGACTGGCGACATGAACTGTGATCACTTGGGGTGGTTCCTACCAGTCTCTTGTAAAAATTAGTAACTTTCCCCTTTGTAATTAATACATATCTTATGGGGATTTTCTTTGAAATGGTATAACTATCTCATTTCTTATTCTTTCCCCCATTAATGTTTTGCCCATTGTTAATTTTCGCGTGTCTGGTTTTTGCCACATGCTAATTTTCTAATTCTTTCACTTTTATTAGTTGGAATCCTTCTGCAAGAAAGAATGTGCCCTTCCTATTTGCTTATTTATATTAGAATAGGATCAGAGATTATTGTCTTGTTCTGTTGGTTTTTATCCATCGTCGTCACCATTTGTGTTCCAGTCGTTCCAGGCTGGCCAGTGGGAGCCCTGTTCAGGTTCCGGTTTGTCCTGAGCACTTTCTGAGCTCTTTGCACTTTTTTCTAAGCACTACTTCACTTTTTGGGTCTATTCTGTTTTAGTGGGTGGTGTGTACATGGAATTGCTGTTGTACTAGATTTTATGTAAACTTATGTACACATCTGTGACTAAATACATTTAAAAAATTCTCTCACTTTATTTAAATGTTAGTGGTGGTTGCCTTTGAATTGTGGAATTACTGGATATCTGTATTTCTTTCTGGAAAAAAAAAATTGACCGATTTCATTTCTGTTACTTTTATCAGGGGAAAAACAACTTAAAAATAAAAGAACCCAGCAGATATTAGTTGTGATTGGAAATTACACATATTGGGGGCTTCCCTGGTGGTCCAGTGGTTAACATTCTGCTCTCCCAATGCAGGGGGTACGAGTTTGATCCCTGGGCAGGGAACAAAGATCCCATATGCCATATCTTGTGGCCAAATTAAGAATAAATATGGGTGCATGCTCAGTTGTGTCTGACTCTTTCCAGCTTATGGACTGTAGCCCACCAGACTCCATTGTCCATGGGATTTTCCAGACAAGGTTATTGGAGTGGGTTGCCATTTCCGTATCCAGGGGATCTTCCTGACCCAGGGATTGAACCTGCATCTCCTAAATGTCCTGCTCTGGCAAGTGGGTTCTTTACCACTTGAGCCATCAGGGAAGTCAAAAATAAATAAAAACGAGGGAGTTGAAAAAAATAGAAAAATATTAAGAAACCAGACATCTGTAAGTCTAACAAAGTGTCCTGCCCTGTCATTTGGGAAGATGTGTGTTTTTTTAGTTACATTGTATGTGAAGTGGAGTATTGTCACTAAATGCCAGTCTGATGAGCTGAAATGATCTTTCTACCTTTAGAAATCATGACATCCTCAATCCTGTGCTCTCCTCCTTGTGACCCATGAGACATGTGTCTGCCTGGGAGGCTAAGTGGCTTGTCCAGAGTCAGAGAGAGGAAATTGAGAGTAACTTGAACCTCCTAATTCTGAACCCAGTGTCCTCAGAAAACCATTAATACTGTTTTTGTTCATTAACCACCTTCTAGCTACAAGGTAGGTACTGCATGGAGTGTTAAAGAGCTGTCAGCTTCCAACTTGTCTGTGCCTCTCATTGGATAAAACTACAGAACTTTATATGCAGAAGTCATCAAAGGCCATTTTGGCTGTGGTGGGTGATTAACCACTTCAGGTGACTCCGAATGGGTTTCCTGGTAGACTGTAGTTGTGAAATGCTGATGAATCTATTGCACAGTGTTCATCTTATAATTACGCTCTATAATTGTGAAAACATGGTTCAGTTGATGGGGCTTCCCAGGATGACTCAGTGATAAAAGAATCCGCCTGCCAATGCGGGAGCTGCAGGTTCGATCCCTGGGTCAAAAAGGTCCCCTAGAGGAGGAAGTGGCAACCCACTCCAGGATTCTTGCTGGATAATCCTGTGAACAGAGGAGCCTGAAGGGCTCATAGGGTTGCAAGGACTGAAGTGACTGAGAAGGCACGCAGTTGGGTTGATAGAATGGAAGACTGGTGGATTTGTGCCAGTTGTTTAGATTTGTCAGCTTTTTCTAGAACGAAGACATGCCTCCTGAGAGGAGTGTTCAAGCGACACCTGTGGAGTGTCAGGAGCGCCTTCCCTGATCCCCCAGACTTGCTCTGGTCCCCTCGCCTACCATTCCAGAGCACCTTGCCCTGGATCACTCACTTCCTGTGGTGCTGGTCATGTGTGTGTGTGTGTGTGTGTGTGTGTGTATGCATGTATCAAGGTGTTTCCTGTCTGTCTTGTCCTCAGCCCCAGGCATAGCACCCCTCACGGCAGGGGTGCAGTAAAAGCGAGAACGCCCTTCACCTCTGTCTGCAAGACAAGTGCTGTCTTGTCGAGCTGGGGCCCCTCTCGATCCGTTTCTGTTTTTTTAAAGAACATTTGAAGACCCAATTCCTAAAACAATTATATCATTAGTCAGAGCTCTTGGTCGCAAGCAGTAGAAAAAGGTCCGTAACCAATGATAAGCATCTCTGATAGTAACAATAGCACATACTTGTCATCAACTGTGGAGGGCCTGAGAGCTTTTTCTCTACGTGCGAACTTCAAGATTAGCCTGCCACAGTTTGATGAATGCCGACAGGAGACACAAGAGTCCTGGGTCAGAGACAAAGGACGTTTATTACTCATGGTAGTAACAGTTGTCATGGTATCAGCATTTTTTGGCACCAGTTCTCGGAAACCCGATCTCCCCAGGGTGACGTGCAGGAGGCCATCAGCACTGTACAGCCTGTGGCTCACATCACAGGAGAGGATCCTTGAATTTCCAGTACCCAAATCGTTTCTACTGGACAGAAAGCCTGGCTGCTCTTGACTCTGCAGAGAGATCTCTCTGCCTTCTAATCCTGTGAGCACACCTGCCCTTCGCTCTGGAGGGAGTCACTGTCTCTATCTTCTCAGTCCATTCGCCATAAAATTTTCCTTGTAATGAAGATCTGGAACAAAGATAGTGACTGCTCACTTGATGTGTAGGTTCCTGGGAGACCCCTGGTCCCTGCCCGGACTCTGCCAGCAGTATGCATTGTGGAAACGTAGAAAACAAAGGGAAAAAATGTCACCGGAATCCTGCCATTCTAAGATAATCACCATCAAGCTACGAAATATATACTTCTAGTGTTTTATCTCCATAAATACAGGTGTTTGTACACGGCCTGGATTTCCTGTGTTGCACACATATGTGTACAGTGCGTTACCTCTTACAGCTGGAGCTCCTTCTGCCAGCACCGCATTGTCCCCGTTTCCCTCTCCAGCCCCCCGTTCTGCTGGACGTGGCGAGGCGTCGGTGCCCAGCCTGCCAGTCCTCGGGGCCCTGCCCGCTGCCTCACACTCGGCTGTACTGAGTATAGAATCAGTGTTACAGAGAGCCAAGAAGTTTCGGATCATTTGGTCCAGCCCTTTCATTTAGGGTGTGAATGCTCTCGTCTCGTATAACTGCATCTCCCTGAGGCTTCCTGAGGCAGTGGCACAAACTTCATGTGGAACTTGGGGCACCGTGAGAAGTTGGCGGATTAGTCACATTGTGTGGGTGATCCTACCCCCGAAGTTGAACCATAAGTAGTGGGGCCTTTGCAGTAGGCTCTGACTAAGTTGTATAAATCTGGGATCAGGCTCTTTGAACCTCTAAACCCCCCTGATCTTGTCCAGTCAAGCCCACAGTTGACTACTGTCAAAGCAAAGCAAAAGACCACCTATGCTTATACCTATAAGTAACCTCAGAACCCCTCAGGAATCAGACAGGTGGGTGTGGAGTAAATGCGTGCCTTGGGACCTCCTTGCCCAAACAGGAGTTAGTTTTAAAACTTATTCTTCCAGTCAGACTCAATTCTCTGTGAACAGTAGCAAGAGAGTTCATTTTCAGCATATATATGTACACACACACACTTCTTTCAGTTTGTTAAAGACTATCGAAAAGTCTTTTTATGAAAAGTATTTCCCCAGACCTGCAACTCAGGGTGTTAAATTTTCATATTTCTAGGTTCCATTAAAGACAGTTGTGAGGTATTTATATTAATAACATTTGCCTTGATTTAAAAATTCAGTACTCTTAGATTCTGGATTAAGGCAGAATTGCTAAATAGTCTTTTCAATGGTGCCTTTTGGATAGACACAAAGCCGTCTTATCTGCTTTCAAGAAAATATTATTCTTTGTTGAATGATTTAAGCCTATTAGTTCTTGGAAAATTACAACGGTATGCTGCCTTCAGACAAGAAAACGAGTTCCAGCTTCTTTTCCTAAGAAGAGACTGTTGTTGTTAAGGATTATTTCTACAGCCCCGAGGTCATTCTAGTGACCTGACTCACGGAGCCAATATCTGGGCAGTCTGCTGGGCTGTGGCACTGTGTGTTCTTACCAGCTTTTTTTCTGTCCCTGCCCCCTCCCTCCGCTGCTGGCCCCGAGGAAGAGACGCAGGGCGGGATGTCATATCACTTACCGAGCTTTGCTGGTCTTCAGCAGAGCCTTGTTCAGCTGGCGTCTGGAAGTGTGTTTTTCCTTTGGCCTGACCCTTCCCCTGGCTGGATCTGGTTTCTTCAGTTAGATGCAGTGCTGTACCCTTGCCCAGAAAGGGAGCTGGGGAGAAGGCATGGGGTGGAGCCTGTTGGAATGGGTCAGGACAGACGTGAGGGAGAGGATGTAGCCCACACTGGGGAGCCTGAGTCAGCGGTCGTGATTAGGAGGCCCCTCCCGGCCTGCCCCCGCCTTGAGATCGAGGGCTTCCCTGGTAGCTCAGCTGGTAGAGTGCGCCTGCAGTGTGAGGCCCCTGCTCGAGCCCAGTGTCAGGGAAATCCCCTGGAGAAGGGACAGGCTCCCGCTCCAGTTTTCTTGGGCTCCCCTGGTGGCTTAGACAGTAAAGGACCCACCTGCAATTCGGGAGATGTGGGTTCGATCCCTGGGTGGGGAAGATCCCCTGGAGAGGGGAACAGCTACCCACTCCAGTTTTCTTTCTTACCTGAAGAATTCCATGGACCAAGGAGCCTGGCAGGCTACAGTCCATGGGATTGCAAAGAGTCGGACACGACTGAGTGACTTTCACTTCACTTCCTTGAGATAGCGTCATCTAGGGGTCAGGGCACAGCCCTCCACTGACCAGAGCAGGGTCGTGTTAGCAGTACCCCAGCCACGAGCCCAGGTTCCGACCTTGGCTTCTGGCCTTCCCTGTGGGGGAGACCAGACGCTGTGTCTGAGGGGCCTTGCGTCTTGTGCACACAGACAGGTGGCCCTGCCTCACCCCTCCCTTCTCTGCCTTCAGCTGGTGCCCTCATTCTGACTGTGAAGGGCGCTCCTGCCCTTCTCAGGGTCCCAGCGCCCTCCTCAGTCCTTCCCTATCCTTAGGTGGTCACAGCTCAAATGTCCCCTGCTGCAAGAAGGTTTCTCTGACCCCTCAGATTTGGAGACTCTCCTAGACACTTCACAGGATCCTGTCCTTAATCTCTAAGTGTGCTTGTCAAATCGAATACTTACTGTGTTAATGGTAGGTTTTATTTCAGTCTCCCCGGAGGGTGAGTATTCTGGAGGCAGGGAGTAAACATCTGTATTTCATATCTGGACTCCCCGGGCACATCCAGTATTACTGTGATTGTCCAGTAAATACCGATTGACTTAAGTGGCTTAGGTTTAGCATTTTCCTCTCTGGCCCCGGGTCAGCCACAGAACTGGTCCCTGGATCTGCAGGCAGAGATTGAAAGACCTACCAGCTGTAGAGTTGTTGGATAAGAGGAAAGATACTGGACTTGGGGTTCACGGAGCATAATAAGGCCATTCATCTAATAAGAGGGCCTCCTTTCAGGGTCTGCTTTGCTGTGGTGAACTGATGTGAGATAATATTTTCAGTTCCAGCGTATGAACAAATTGCCCATTTATAAGTCAGTTTTTCCTCTCTTTTATTAAATGACTGAGATTTGCTTTTTCAAAGTTAGCTAAAAATTCTCTTTCTACATTAAATGGTGTTTTGAAAAAATCATTCTTTCAAAGATAATTATAAACTTATTTCTGCTCTGCATGTATGTTTTGGAGTAATTGAAGATTTTTGCTTCTGTTTACTCTACAACCAAAGTATATTAAGTGTTAAAACTGTACCTAAGCCCTAGCAGTATTTATAAATTAAAATATGCTTTTAAATCGGACTTCTAACACTGAATTGACTACATGTGAATGCATTGTGTTTTTATTGTAACACTTTGCTCAGGTCACATCCTGTTTAAGCGTGTTTGGTTGTATTACTTGTTAACCTTGAGGATTAGGTGTAATTGCTCTGACAACAGAACCTTTTCCTGGAGGGTAGAGGAGATATGGTCTGAGAGGATCCCTTTCTTGGATAAAGGCGGAGGCTGTTTTTATTGCTTTGCTTAGTGAGATTCACTTTGGAAATACTAAAAATTAGTTCTGCTCACTTATTAACTCTGAATAAATTGTTCATTTTTCTTAAAGTATTGATTGTAAGACCTATATTAGATTAAAGCAGAAACACAGAACATTGAAAATCTGGGTCCAAAAGTGTAGGTGGGCCTGAGTGCTGATCATGGTTACTTCATTTTGACAGTTTCAGGAAAAAAGATGAAAATGAAAGTCACATGTAAGGCCAGCCCAACCAACATTTCTAGGCTATTCTTAGGCCCTATTGGCAAGTTGAAGTAATTTTCAGTATCAGTGTTTCCTGCTGTGAATACCAGTATGTCGGTTCCAGTCATTAATAATTTTTTTAATTTATAATTTTTAAAAACCACCCAGTCAACCCACAGAGTCATGAGAAACAAGAATTTGTTGTTTTGAGTGGATAGTTACGTGGTAGACCCCTGATGTTCTAGGTCTATTCTTTCTAAAAATGGCGTGACCAGGTTTCTTCATTCCACTCACTCGTGTGGCGCCGAACGAGTGAGTGGTCCCCCAGTCCCGCCCTGTTCTGAGAGGATGGCCGAGCACCGAGTCGAGAATTCCAGGCAGTGTGCCACAGGCACATTGTGGGCAGTTGGTTTTCTCTTTTTTTATTTTTTAAATTATGGAAGTGTGATAACATATATAGGAGCTGTGGAAAAATCCGTATCAAATGATATTTGAAAATAATCCTACGTGGGCATTTTCAAAAGAGCGCTTCCGGCCGCCTTTGGGCACTGGCAGCGTTTCGGGTGTGCGGGGTGGAGTCAGTCAGTCTGCAGCGCCCCAGGGTGAGTCCTCTGACGGTAACTGTGCTGGAGGATTCACTGTGGCGTCTCTGTTAAAAAAGTAGGTACTAATAAAGGAAGAATAAACAGCTTCATTCCTTGTCTCCAGAAACACTCCCCCCACCCGGGCCCAGGACTGCCCTGCAGACGTTGTCTTAGTCATCTCAGTTCTGACAGCCCTCTTCAGAATCATGTGGGGTGGGGGGGGGCGGATGACATTTCACAGAACAGGTTTCCTGGTCAGCTCTTTCTGGTTCTCTACTTACAGTGGAATCATGTGGATTCCATTATAATGGAATAATATAATGAAGACAGAGGTAGCGTATTCAAATTCCCTTTTTATGATCTTAGTACAATAAGTAATATATATTGTTTTAATAATTTTGTTATCCATCCAGGGTGCTTCTCGGTGTCCTCAAGCACGTGAGTGACCTGTGGAAGGACCCCAAGCCGCCCTCTCTGGGAGCATCTGTGGGGCGCTGTCCCCGGGGCGGGAGGGACTCTCTGTAGCGGGCGGTAAGAGGGGGCCGGGCGCAGGCTGGTGCCCGTCGGAGAAGCACGAGAAGGGGTGGACGAAACCCGGGGAGGAACGTGAGCTCGGGTGGATGGTCCTGTAGAACGTGTTGTGTTTTCTTGTTTTGTTTCTTTGTCTTGTGACGTGGCGTCTTAGAGGGCACCCGCTACTGATGCTGCCGCCCCCTCTGTGGGGCCTCGAGGATGTCTTCAGTGATTCTCAATCTTGACGAGAGGACAAAAAACTGTCAGTGAAGGTTTTGAGTTTTTCTAGAGTTTGATAAAAGTATTAGAGCTTGCCACTAGCTGTAGACGTCTAAAAGCCACCTATGCATTTTACTTCTTGGGACATGCTTGTTTGGAATAGTGTGTCTTGTTCGAAGCCAAAGAAGTGTCATCGGCAGTCGTGCTACCGCTTGGCTTCGCCTTGACCTCACGCGGTAAAGACCGCCTTGGAGGCGCCCGCCCGCCTGTTTACTGCCCCTGGAGTCTGGGAGCCGAGCGCGGGCGGTGAGGGGTGTGGGGCCCTGGGCTGCCCGCCCTGTGGGGTGCGCTTGGAGGAGGTTGTCCTTGTCTCAGGAGGGTTGGCATATGGGAAGCAGGGTCCTGGCCCCTATGGGCCAGGGGAGGTGGATGGTCATTGTATGGTTTAGCACGGGGCAGCACGGTGTACGTCTAAGTGCCCTCCAGTTCAGTGAAAAACATCTAATTGAATGGAGATCTGGAGAAACAAATGATAAGAGTGTCATTCCAAACAAGGTTTGGGGAAGGGGCGGTCTGAACCCAGACTGTTGTCGTGAGCTGGTCCCTTCCCATCAAAATGTCCCTTTGCTTTTCAGACATAGAGATGAAATGACAGCGACAGCGTAGGGCAGGTGTCGACCCTCAGGGTGCTGGTTGGGAGGGAGTGGCTCTGACCCGGGCAGGTCATTTGCCTCTGCTTGCCTCAGTTTTCCCACTGTCGAGTAGGGACGGTGAGGGTGCGGAGAGGCGGATTATGATGACCAAGTCACTTCATCCTGTCAGGTGCCTCCAGCACGCCCTGGCACTGCGTCTGCATTGTCTGTGTTTTATTAATGATCATTGTCAGGCCCACTGGGGACTTGGAGGCACCCCTCTTACACGCGTGCAGGCCCACCTTTTCTTCCTGCTCCCCTTGTCTCCCCCCCACCCCCCCATACCCCCTGGTCGCAGTAGAGACCGACTTCAGGATTTGTGGTGCCAAAGAAGGGCCCCCGGATTCAGGAGGACACAAGGTTTTGTTGTCCTGGTTTCTCAGCAATTGCCAGAAGAAGCCAAAGAACTGGGTTGTGTAAGGCGCAGCTGCCGGAAGTGTCTGCTCCGGGGCCTGAGCTCTGAGGACGCGGGGCGGGCTGCTCTCGTGTGGGCCGGAAGTTCTCTGGAAGGTAGAGCGTGTTATCAGAGAAGCAGAAAGTCAGAACTCATCAGCAGGTGAAGTGGCTCCCGTTTTGGCTCAGAAGTACTCCCAGCTCTGCACAGGAGTGGGTTCCTGAAGTTGGCTTAACTGTTAAATATATTGTTCATTACATTTGGTTCAAAATGAAGGTATGCCTTCTTTCTAAAGTTCATTGGCCATGGATGGAAGGTTAAAAGCTTCTGGCGAGAACTGGACATCTTTCTGTTGTAATTAAACTTAATTTGCGAAGAACTGCATACTACACTCCACAATAACTCATTAATTTTTGTTATCTGGCCACTGTGTTGTTAAAGACAGCACACATAACAGTTACTAGCATTCTAAAACGTGCCTTTTTTTTTTTTTTTTTATCCTTGCACAAGATGCTCATTAGAAAAAGAAGCTTCTTTAAAACAATTAAACATGTTGCTCGGCTCCTCCAGATGTTTTGCTGTGGTTTTGGACACTTGGTATTCTCTGCACTGAACTTGAGGCCAGGATGGCCAGGTGTTGCTCCTCTCCAGAAGTTTACCTCGTCCTTGTCTCTAACCATGAGGCTCTCGGAGGTCTCAGCAGCCCCTTTTCCTCACGTCCTCCTAAACCTCCAGGATGTCTCCGGCCGCCGCTTCCATCCTGGCATAGCCTGACACTTGGCTGCCTGCTCCTGAAATTTGTCATTCCGTTTTGATGATACCTTTGTGTAGCTAGTGCAGGACTAAAGTACATATTCACTGAAGAGTGAGACGGAGCCTACAGTTTGGCATGTAGCATTTTGAAACTGCTTTATTATATGTTATTCCTAAGTACTGCCAAAAATTAAAAAATAAAACTCGCTGAAATACAAGTACCTATCTGCTGTTTTGGTATATATCCATTTAGGTTTTTCTCTTTCTGTTTGTGTTTGTATGCCTTTAACTGTATAGAAGCATATGTAATCATATTTTTAAAGGAGTTTATTACTAGTTTTTT